TCTCATTTTCCTTGGATTACAACACTAGCTTATGAATTAGAATTCCCCACTGACCACAGTATCAGTAAAAAGATATAACTTCTTAATGTAGGACTATAAAAACGGTTTCTGATTATATGCTGATAGTGTCAGATACCAGAAAATTGTTTCAGTTTCAACAACAGTTTATTTTGTGCAAATTATAAATAAGGCCACATGAAGAACAGGTTACAGAAATAGGGAGTAAAATACCTAAAGAGGTAAATTGATTTGAAAATTAAATTTTATGTCTTAATAATTTTGTGTTTTAAAGGAATTCAGGCTTTGAAAAGAGCATTTTTGCAGTGACACACACCCCAACCCCACCCCATCACTCCAGGCTTATTAATCTGTGGCAGAAAGAAGCCTTAGCTCTAGATCTGGTCACTAATGAAGCCAGGTGCAAGCTTAGAACAGGACTTGCTCTCACACAATGACCGCTGTCCCAGACCACACTTTTTCTGTTGCTCTAACTCCAGCTAAATTGGAGGTTTTATGCCTGAGAACATAATGCCTTTATGGACTTCAGAGTAGCTACAAAACCCAGCTAAAGCAAATCTAAAGTTCCTTGAGAACTGTGTAGGAGAAGGTTAAGGTTTCACTCCAAGCATAGAAACAGCAAAAGATGCAGAGTGTACTGCTAGCTAATGTCACTCTGAACTCATCAAGGAGCTCAAGGTATCAAAGCAAGGACAGATGTCAGCAGTACCCAGGAAAGCAGCAGCTGTTCTGGAGCCTAAGAATATACACCACAGCAGTTCTGCCAGTAAATCTAAGGACTTAACTTCAAAATCTATGGTACCTCTTTTCAGGCTGTCCTCAGCTCTTCTTATTAAAAGAGTATATTTAGTATGTTGAGACTACTTCGAATATATTTGTACTTACAAAGAATATATTTGTAGGAAGGTATCAGACAACAAAGTGCTTTTAAAAGTTTCTGTTGGATCAACATGGGTGCCTGGGCTAAAAGAATTGTGAATGGAGTGAGGGCCACAAGTAGTGTTCTTCAGGGCTCAGTTTCAATTACCTGGACAAGGGGATCAAGTGGGCCTTCAGTCAGTTTGCAGACAACACTAGCCTGGGTGTGTTGATCTGCTGGAGAGTAGGAAGGCTTTGTGGGGGATCTGGACAGGCTGGATCAATAGGCTGTGGCCAGTTGCACGAGATTCAACAAGGGAAAGTGCCAGATACACTCTTGGGCCACAACAACCCCATGCAACGCTATAGGCTGCGGGAAGAGTGGCAGGAAAGCTGCCTGGTAGAAAAGGACCTGGGGGTGTTGGTCAACAGCCAGCTGAGTATCAGCCAGCATTTGTTGATTTATGCTGATTCTGTGATTCTACAATAACATTTAAAGTTGCCAATTCTACCTGAAACAGCTTTTAATTTGGATTTGGGGGAAGTTTTTTCTTTGACATATGGACCCCTATATATTTTCAATAGAAAAATGAGGTCTACAGCCTTATGTAGAGCATATTTGCAATAGGCTTACTCCTTTTGGCTGTTTTGGTGAGGTTTTTTTATTTCTTACCTTACCAACATCAGATATTAGTGGTTAGACAGAGTGGATAAAGCATCTCTGTAAACAGATACAGCAGCAGAATTTCAAGACCTATTAAGGACACAGAGTGGGAGACATCTCTCAGTTCAGATGTAAGCTGATGACTGTTCATTAAGCCTAAGAATTTGGAGGCAGTCAGGGATACCAGTGGTTGCACCACTCTTGCATGGCTTTGGCCACAGAAATTTGTGAACCATGATGACATTAAGCTGACAGGTCACAGACACTACGCTGGACTGCTGCTGAGCACTGACAAAAAGAAAATACACTGAAGAAAAATGGCTATTGAAGCATATTTTATTATGTGCATATTATATTTATACGTAATTATAGCAAGTTCTAACACAGAAAATGCGTACTTCTTTTTAAACATATGTATGTAAAAAATTACAGTGAGTACAGTGATCTGTAGTTTTGAGGAGGAATAAACTGCATGAATACCAGTTTTAAACAGTATAAAGTTTCAAAAGTTTTCAAAATTCAGATATTCATACAACATACAGACTTTTATTAAAAGTTGGCACATGAAATTGGCACTGAATTTTTTCAGTATACTAGTATGAAGATACATTTCTATTTTAAATACTTTATATTCAGCGGGAAACCTTCACAGCTTGGGTTTAATTGTTACTCAGCCACGTAATGACTAATTTCTTATAAACCCAGCTATCTATAGCCATTCTTAAAAAGCAGAAAGGCCTTCTTTTTAGAGTAACACATCTGAAGCTACATTCCAAATATCCCCAGCTATCTATAGCCATTCTTAAAAAGCAGAAAGGCCTTCTTTTCACAAACTGAGTAACACATCTGAACCTACATTCCACATATCCAAGTCAAATTTTCTTTTACCACAGGAGCAGTTTTCCCACAAACCATATAAAATTAATGATGATGAACATTGATGCTACTAGTCCTACGGATACCAGTAAAAAGGATTAGGCCTGATAGTAATACAATAGGTGAGAAACACTAAAATAATGGGAGCTGTAAAAAGAATCTCAAAATCATAAGTAAACCAGACAGGGTCAGAGGGAAATCTGGCAGGAGTAACGGTAAAGGGCATTTGAACTGCACATGCGATAATTGGTCCATTTCTTTAATTACCTAATACAGCAAGAAACATCTTGGAAGTAGGTTTCTTTGTTATATAATAAAGTGCCTTGACTATGTGAATATACATCCCCCTTTGGTTTATGAATTAAGGTTCTTTCACTGATTTTTTTTTTCCTAAAAAGTTAGCTACTACCGTTGTACAGCAGTTGATTAGACAAAAAAAAAAAAAAAAAGAAAAAAGAAAGCCTCTTTAAAAGGATCTATATATGAACAGATTGTCTGCAGTAGCATAGAACCTATCAGCTTAATTAGGGATCTGCATGGATGCACATCTACATGATACTCCTGCAGGAGTGGCCCATAGATATTTTCCTTGGAATACATTTTAACAGACCACACAGATTTAAAACTGTAATTTATTTTTCTTAATATAATAGAAAAATTTTTAGTCAATAAAGTTACACAGAAAAATACTTCAACCATGTTAGACCATAGCTATACTTCTAAGAACGATAAACAGAAGCAGCAACTTGTTTTGTTAAGCCACTATTGTATGTTAAACAGGCACAAAGTGGTTACTAGAACTCAGGGGATCAAAACACTTTCCGGGCTTCTCACAGAAATTACTGCCTTAGAATTGTGTACTATGCCACAATTGAAAAGTATCAAAACCAATACAGGGTAAAATAACATTTCTGTGTTAACTGAATAATTTATTTGCAGATCATGTGGAAAAACAAGGCCTCTCCTTTTCAAATAAATACATGTATTAAGGGAACGCATACATTAACTTAAAAAAAAAACCAAAAAACAACTGTGCAATTAAATGCATAGTTGTTACGTACTAGACAAGAAAACATTCAAAGTACAACAGTGCAACCATGTCAGAGCACATAGCTGATGTTTGCCATTTTACATTTTAAGTAGGAGACAAGGTAAACCTCCAAAACAACACAAAACTTTAATTCACTATTCCATGTATAAATAGGTGCTTCAATTTCTTTTTTTTTTTTTCCTCCAAGTTCCTTTGCTTTAACATGAATTCTACACAGTATTATGTGAATATTCAGACTTAATGGAACTGATCATCATAGGATTTCTAAAACCAGTTCCAACACACCTATAACTATATCCCCATTTGGTAGTGCTTTTGTAGTAATTAAGACACTGACCATAAAACTTCACAAATGCAAAACTCTGTTAGCAGTTTCCAGCCTTGAATCTTATTTATAAAAAACAACACTGTTTCAGAATAAAATTGCTTTACATAACACACGAAAACTAGAGAGCTTAAAAAAGGGAGATTCAGTTTATATAATTTGGCCAAATAACATAAAAGAGATTTTGGTCATTAAAATAAATTTAGAAAGTACCCAAAATAGCAATGGCCAAATCCTCCAGAGAGAGAAAAAACAGGTGTGATGACAGGTCCCTGAACTCACATCCTTCAACCAGGCTCTCTACATGCATGGACATTCACATGGCACTCTCTATATGGTAAGAACCTTAGGTATGAAACTGAATTACTGCACACACACACACGCTGCCAATTCTGGGATGTTGGGATGTGCCAATTCTAGATACCCCTAGCAACATCTGCAAGAGGTACCTCACAGCATCACTATGCTGGTGAAGACAAGGCCAAGTAGGATCTAACACCCTACAAATACTGAAAGGGGACTCACCAAAGATCACAGCCAAACCCTTCATGGTAGCAGGAGAAGATATGAGGGGAAATGGCTACAAATTTGTGGCCACTTGGGAAACCAAAATTGGACATGGGGAGAAATTTTTATGCAGAAGTGGAGTGCAAGCATGGGAACAGGCTGCAAGAATGGTGGTAGTCTTTCGGGATTTTCACAGCCTGGCCAGCCGATCCAACAACTAACCTGATCTAAGGCTGGCAACAGTGCCTGGGTGCACTGAACCCAGAAATCCTTCTGGGATTCCAGAAATCCTTCTAACAACTTTACATGATTTTGTGAATTCAGCCAAAATGTTTTACTCATGCAGGTGTGTCAACAAGGTTTAGACTCATATATTTCACCTCATCTACTACAGGCTAAGACCACAGAGCTGTGGTTCAGGGGACACACATAGAATGCTGAGCCTTAGTCTAAACTCCACAAGTTAATCAAAGTTAATGATGAAGAAGCAATATTTCGGAATGCAGATAACAGCTTATAATCACGATCTTTTCCTTCTTTTTTTCTCTGAAAAAATGCAAATGCCTACGTGTAAGCTTACCCTTCAGAAACGAAGTGCTGGATCATCTCCCACTCTACTACTGCATGAAAAACTACCTGCAAATAAAGCTTACATGAATTCTACTCCCATTTCACTCCTGTGAACAGAGAGAGAAGCTTTTACACACAAAAAAAAACCAACAAAAAAACAACCCACAGAAAAGGCCCTTATCAATGCACTCAGTGAAGTGTGTTTTTCTCCTCAGAGAAGCTAATTACGGCTGTAATTTTGTTGCTTAAATAATACAAGGTAAACAACAAAACAAATCAACAAAAGTAAACAACAGATACATGACCAGGCATATTCCTGATACACCTGTGTCTCCTTCAATCTCTGCCACCTGCTCTAAGTAACTCTCAGGATTACAGTGAGGCATCTTGTACTGCTGGGTGGGAGGATGCTACAATCCTAAAGTCTCCTGCATGGAAGAAGGTAGTGTGTAAAGATTTCCTTAGTAATAAGGAATTACCTTAGTAATACAAAAAGGAAAACAAACATGTTTTCTCTTCTAGGGTTGAAGTACAATACAGTGAAATAAAATGCCTTATTCCTTTTGTCATTAGATTTCTCTGTCTTGTTAAGAACAATCTTTCAGCTTGTTACCTGAGGATTAACTGCTCTGATTTAGAGGTTTGAAAGGATGCCTAATTACACTGCTCCTCCTACTTTAAAACTGTTCGGTTGGTTTGTTTTGTTTTTTTTTAATTCTGAACCATCCTGTTTCTGAGAACTCCACATTTTATAAAACTGGTAATGCAGCACAGGCTATACACCATTCAGCTATAGTGCTGATAAAATGCAGTAACAGCTGCTTGTCATATGGGTTTTCAATCACTCCATAAAACTTTATCCAAAGTTTATTTCCCAAGCTAGGTGTCAGCTTGGAGATGTTTTATTAATATACACAATAAAAACAGAAACAACTTACTGGCTCTGAAGGAGCCCTTTCCCAGTCCAACAAAAATTTGTGAAAGATGAGACGAACTGGATCATGATTGTTAACTACAGAGAGACCTACAATTTTTACTACACTACAGGATTGTTGGGAACTGTTATAAGCAATAATAACTTGGCTTTTAGAGCTACTGAGACCTAAAGCTACCACCCACTCGTGAGTTTCTCAGAGTTTTCCTTAAATCAGAAAAAAAGAGTTCTAATTAAGGTAAGTGGTCGCTGTTCATTTCAGGTATTTCTCTTAATGAAGATTTTAAACAGATCTCTGTGCATGTGCAGCAATTCTTTCACCTGCAAGTTTAACACTTAAAAAAATGCATCAAGAATATCCACTAAAAGAGACTCCTCTGTACTACTATGATTTCTCAATTAGGGTCTGAATGGAAGATAGGACAAACAAGGGAAAAATTACAACCCGCATCTCTCTGTAATACTAATAATGATCTAATCTAAACAAACAGGCAGGTGTTGGATAATTAATTCATCTCGGTAATCCTACATATCACAAGTATAATAGTCTCTCTGGAATTTTGAATGGTAATAGACCATGCAAATGTTCCTTTCACTTCTGAGCTGTGTAGGATCAGATGTGAAGTCTACTTCTCAGTTCTGAATCAAACCCCACCTCCCAAATTAAATAAATTCTAACTCACTAGATTTTGCAAAATTTCACCAGAACCCCATGCGCTTGCCACTGTCTCAACCTGACAGAGACCATTCTGCTTCGTGCCCTGAACTTAGGGCTTACCTGGATCTAGACAAACTTTCGATGTTTTGCGGTTTTCCTGGGAAAGGTTTCATCAGCATATAACTTAAGACATCCAAAAAACTACATAAGCAGGCACGAACAAAAAGATTAAAAAAATTGAAGGTGTAATATTTTTCTTTTCCTGTGATATATGATATTACAATATTCTGTGCATAAGAAATCTTGAGCCCTTAGAGAAATAAGCAGGTAAAGATGATAAAATACATTACAATATTATATGCAGTGACAACCATAGCATTGATTTGACTTACGCTACTTAAAAAAAGTGAAACCAAAGCCTATGGGACAAAGCAAGTGCACAGATACGAATGGACAGAAGAGTCTGGATTTTTAACATGACGTACAATTTCTAAATACACAAATGGATAGTCCACAATAAAAAGAATACATTATTGAAATCCTTCATTAACTTTTTTTTTGTTTTTTTAGCATACAAGTTATTTAGGTCAGGAAAAGCATCTATCAGTTAAACATTGCAACAGTTTTTCTTGAGCGCTAATTTTTTGACAGGTGTCACAGCCAGGCTGGTTACTGACTTCGTATCATCTTGATTACCACTTCGTTTTCGCACTTCACTGTAAAGAAACCCCAAAACCAAAAAAATGCATTCAATTAATACATTTTCATTCATGCTCACTGTTCTGTTTCCCCCAGTATATATTACAGAGCTCAACATCATCGATTGCATCGTCAAAACGCTGGGGTTTAGTGCACAGAATCAACATGTCTCCTTGGGAATCATAGCAGTATTTCTATACAAATCATAGCTAGTGCTAGAAATATAGTAATTTCTGATGCAAAATAACTCTCCTTATATTAGTAGAATAAATTCATAAAGTAGCTCTAAGAACACTGTATTATTCAGCATAATGGTAATGAAATGTTAATTTCAAAATGATGTGCTTCTTTCAAAGAATACAGATTCCGAGTACTTAAGAAATTGCAGACCATCATTCCAGACCAAAGTTCTGGGTAATGTCTAAACAATATGAGCATCAATGTGCTTTATGAAGAAAATTTTTATTTTTGAGATCCTGAAGAGAGAGGTGCCAAGTGGCAAAACATTTTTTTATCCTTGAAACAGTTAAACAAAGGTATCATGTTTAAACATTAGAGATACTTTTCCAGCTATGATTAATGTTATAGAACTGTCCTATATATGTTCTCTAATCTTTTAATCCACAGCTGCATTCACGGCCAGGTTCTTTGTAACATGACTTTTAACAAATTGGCCACTAAATTCGCACTGACATTGACAGACAAATAAATTATATTATAATCAAGACTTGTTTGAAAAGGTAGTAGAAGTGTAATGTTTGGCTCACACATTATCACAGAAATACCTGGTTGCTAAATGGATCACAAATGCTATCTTTTACATAATTTAGAGAAAGGGATATCAAAGAATATACATGGGATTAGAATGGTCAGTAATAAAACTGAGTATATATGTGAAAGAATTATGAATTAATTATACATAATTATACGTACTTAATTTAGGAAAGAATTAAGAAAGTAAATTCACTAGGTTTTAAAACTGTGAGCTCCTTAATTGAGCTGTAATTTAAATATTAATTATCAAGACATCTTTGTAACATTTGCAAGCAGAAATGTTACTTGATTAAACTGAGAAAAAATCCTACCTTGTAGTTACCTATAAAGATTAAATATGTTATTAATTTTTAAATTCTGTTTGTTGAATTTTATGTTGGTACAGGTACAATTTTGGATGTACATGTGCAATGTGCATGATGTGTAATTTGATAATAATACACAAATGTAGAGTTCACAATAAAAAGAATACAAAGAAAAATATAAAAAAATACAAAGAATCTTTGTATGTGTATTCACATATCACGTCCATTTCATTAAATATACTCAAGATTTTTTTATTCAAAAATAGAAATATAGCTACTTACCGAGCAAGATGAAGAACTGCTTCTACAACATTAGATCCATCTTTAGCACTTGTTTCACAGAATAGTGCATTATAAGTCTGTAAGTAAAAATAAACGTTGAACTAACTAATCTGAAATGGTTTCCATGTGAATATATATATTCAATTACAAACAGTTTCCTCAACAACACACAAAGAAAGATGACATACATTTAAATGAACAGGACTTTTATCTCACTCTTCATTCTCCAATATGTTCACATTAGTACTGTGAAAAAACCAGTAATTACTTTCTAATTGTATTTTTTTTATATTCAGTATATTCTGAATTAACAAACTGAATAAAAAACACATCATAGGAATAATGTCCAAATTAAATCTTGTCCACAAGACTGCAAAATAGGAAGAGAGTTGCTAAAACAGGTTACTGAATCCAGCTTGTTAGCTACCTATAAACTACAGTATGTGGTATTCTAAGTTAACCAGAAATATCATTCAGACATGACACTTGCCTTTGTATAATCAATCAATTGCTCAACCACTCAGAAATTCAAGACATTAAAACTTCTATATTTTTTTCTGCAAAATAGGTGATATCCGCATCCCTTATCCCCCACATAAATACATGCACAAAACTTGTCCAGACTTCTATTTATAGCAGAGAGTTCCTTATTTCTTTCTGCAGACATCACAGGAATACCAGACAGTCTCTTGAAGATGAAAATATTCCTCTCAAAAGCTGGACAGACACGAGCTAGGTGAAAGCCTTGTATGCTCACTAGTGTGCTTTGTATTTGCACTGGTGATTTCTCTTTGGCAGCAGCAAACATCAGTCTCCTAGTCCATCTACTTTTCACCATAAAGGTTGAGAAAACTATCCCAGGCAAAAATTAAGTGCAGCTCAGTGAAAACTGAGCTGAGATTTAGCCCAGTGAACAAATAGGATAGTTTTCATGAAAAATATCTATGAATCCTAATTACTCCATTTGAACAAACAAGCAGAAAATTACTTCTGTTTACTAGTTTCTCAGATGGTTCTCAGATTCAAGTTTTGAAGACCATTTTATATTAAAGAGGTAGACTTGGACCTTACCATGGCCAGCTTTTCTCCATAATTTACAGAAACACATTTTTGTCCTTGTTCTGTAACAGTTTGACGGAGATCCGCTTTGTTACCCACCATCATAATTGGAATATTCTCATGAGTTGCATCCTGTAAAAGGATTTTATTTCCTTATTGCTAGAACACTCAGAAAACAAAAAAAGTAACTGGCATCATCATGTCATATTGATTTTCTTCCCACAAAAATAATTTTCCTCACTATCACAAAAAATGACAGATAATGAGAGTAATGCTGAGAATCATGAGCTAATTCATATTTAACATCAGCCTGCAAAGATGGGCTTCCCAACAAGACATTTTGTATGTTAAGTTATCCTAATGGAAATGGTTACAATACCCAAATGCTGTATTAACAAAATTACTATGGGGAAAGTGTCAAACTCCTGCAGTATGATTAAAAGAAATGCCTTTCAGAAGACGAATTAAAGATCTTGCTTAATTCTTTCACTCTTCTTAAATGCTTCTGGTATGAGAGAAAAATGCTCTATGTTACATGCAAATTTGTATTCAAATAAACAAACAAGAAGTAATAGTAGAAAGAAATACTCAAAATTTCACTTGAACTATAGCTAATTTACAGAATCTACCACATTGGTTTAAAATGCAAAGACTCCAAGGAATACTCCAGCCATCCACAAGAGAGTATCTGAAGCGGGCTGTCATATTGATTTCAAAAGGAACTGAATGGGAAGAGTGTGATTACATGACACCTTTTTATACAAAAACATGTATCAGTTTTAGCACTAACTGAATATGTCTGGACACATTTAGGACTCCCATGTAGCTTTTATGTCTATGCGTGTTTGCAGTCTGGCTAAATCCAACATCCAGATACTCAAATTTTATAAATAATAAAGATAAAAATGCAGTGAAACATAGCTTGTAACTTGCACATACTTAAGGTTCTTACCTCAATCATATCCACCCATTCTCTCACATTAAGAAAGCTTTTTTCACAAGTTACATCATATAGTAGTAAGACACCATCTGCTCTTCTGAAGTATGACTTAGCAATACTTCGGAATCTTTCAGAAAAAACAAAATCTGCATAAGGCCACATCATCAAAAACTAATTCAATTCAACGTTATTAAGAACACCACATTTCTTTATTACACTACTGAGGAGGATTCCCTCCACACTACAAGATGAGTTTTCTCATAACTTCTTTTGTAAGTAGATCTTGAAAAGTGCTCCTGTAGGCCTATAAATCTGCCATAAGGACCCATAGAATCCTTTCCTAAACATCAATCATAATTTTTTGTATGAAAACAAAAATGTAGTCTACCTTATATCTATAAAATATAATCTGCTTTACAGTGGAATTTTGATTAGGTAACAAGGCTTTTTCACTTACATACAACTTTAGAAATTGAGTGGGTTATTCTGCTACATTTGAAAACCTATGAAACCAGTAATTTGGAATTAATTCATCAGTGACAGTCATCTCAGCCACTATCGTAACACAATCAACTTAACAACCAAGGACAGCAACTAGGTATTTAGAATATATTTTAAAATATTCTTCATCAATTTATTCTGTGGGAGGAGAACAGTTGAGCCTCTGACTACCTACTTCACATAATTACTCCTACAGGCAAAAAAACCCTCAGACAGACCAATACAAATCTTGGTCAATAAACAGATTAAACTGACTTCCAAGGTGTTAGATTAACCTCTTAACAAGCCCAAAAGCTATTAGTAAAGAAGTAATGGCTCTCAAGTAAATTTGTCATAGGATTTTGAGGAAATTCTACACAATAATTTGAAGGACCTTGGGTATACATTCATCAAACTGTATAATTTCACTGTAAGTCTTTTTAAAGTCTTCCAGAAGAAGTTTTCATACCCTTAATGCAATGCAAATCAGGATCGGGACTTTCAAGGAAAGGAGAGGATGGTGAAGGAAAGGGAATCTCTTAAGATAAAGCCTGTGCAGTAATACAGGTCTGTGAGGACAAAGAGGGAAGACACAATGTACATTTACTCCATCTTTTTGTATTGCAAGAGAGGGGCACATGGGTTTAATTAATTAATGCTGTGGTGAACCTCAACTATTTCTCCCTGCAGACAGAAGAGATTACCTAAGGCATCACCATGGCTAACAAATAAATGTTCCACCTGTCACAGGTCTCAGCAGAGCAAAATCACATCTGGTATACACACTTGCATATGGCCAAAATGACTTACTGTAGGGTCATTTAATATTTAGTGTGTATTTGTTTTTACCTAGGTGGAAAAAGACAAACATCTTTTAGAAACAAAACAACTGAAATTATGCAAGTGCAAAGAATCACTAACCTCTCCTGCCCAGCTGTGTCCCACAGTTGTAGCACTGTAGGTTCTCCATCAACAATTAGTCTTTTCATTTGAAAATCCACACCTGAAAAGAACGTGTATAGACAAACAAAAAAAACATCAGTAACCTTAAAAACCCCACAGAAAATGTCAAGTTATGTGCCATATACAAGTTATTTCAAAATTCATCTCTTTTAATAGATTATGAGATTTCAGTCATGAACATAGCCTTGAACTGCAATAATCCCCTGAACGTATTTATCTTTAGAAAAACATTTACAGAAATATTTTACCACATATTTTCCCAGAAACATTAATACAAATGTGTCATTATGACCAGCAAACAAGAACATCTCTATTTCTCTAAGCAGTTTTATGGAAGAAGAGAAAATGTTTTATAAACAGACTATTTCAAATGCCAAGAAGAAGAAAGATAAATTAAAACAAAAATCCTGACTCACAGGCAATAAAACAAATATATAATTATGATTTAATTAGAGGACAAAAATTAAGTATTTGGAATCAGTAAAAAAGTTAGTCAGCTGACAGCTATTATAATACACACAAGTCAGAAATCCCTTCAGCTGCATTTAAACAAAAGCTTCAATAACACTTTGAAGAAACACACACACACAAAAAAATACTATAAAAGACATTAAATGGTAGTATGAAATACTAAGGAAAGAGGAAAGAGCTGAGGACAAGAAAGTAATGAAAAATGTGAAAATGATCATACAGACATTCTAAGTCCATTACACTCAAACTCCCTTTTCTAGTGCTTGATGTTGTTCAGGAACAGGCTTTGTACTTTGCAAAGAGAAACAAAATTACAGCAATTACCTATTATCTACTCCAGCCAGCAGTGAGGCACTTCTAATCTTTAGCACTCAATTAGATCTCACATCCTAAGAAATTACATGTGTATATTCAGGAAACTCTGGCAAGCAACCACAGAGGGTAATCTTTTTACCCACTTCCACAGAACAGCAATGAAATTAACTTTAGAATTTTAAGAACAACTATACCCAGGGTTGCACTTGTGTTGCCTCGAAATTCATTCTTGCAAAGTCTTGTAAGGAAACTGGATTTTCCCACTGCTGCATCTCCAGCAAGAACAATCTTGTAAGCTTTCTCTGAACTGGGGTATTTCAGAGCACATTCGGTTGCATCTGACTGAAAATAAAAAGAACCCCTCTGTTTCAACTCATATTTTCCACATCAAACACTTCTTTTTTTTCCTAAAGAACTGGTTACCTGAGGGGTGAGAGCAGATATGTATCTCCTTGTTGACACAACTGAACTGCTCCGACTTACTGGTCGTGAGGTCTTCCAGTCTAATACCACACTGCTGTTATCAGGACTGTATGCATCTTCATCCCTGATCTCTGGAACCTGAAAATACAAGCTAGTGTGTTAGCTCCAGTAAGAAAAATACTTTTTTTTTGAATGGTACAGCTAAGACTGCTTAAAACATTTGTTCTTGCAGTTTGGATTAAACAGAGATAAATGACCAAATTTTAGTTGAAAAACTGTGATTATTTTGTTCTTATTTACACTTGTTCTTCATTACAGCCTACATTTCGTCCTTAAATGTGTTTGCTGTTTGGTGTACATGCTTTCAGTACAGTATTCAGATAGAAATCTAATTTCCACATGGAAAATTCAGCTTAAAAAAATGATTACAATAAACAAATACTTTATTTCAAAACTTATTTTACAAAAATATTTTCCTACAGGGCATTACTCTCTATCCTACAACAACAGGATAGAGAGTAATAGCTCAAACTAAATTAAATACAGCACAGCTGTAATCACCACTATTCATAGCATTTTTCAACTGCAACAGACTAAATGTCTCTACTAAATGCACAGCAAAGGATCTGCTGTATAAAACCCTGTGTTCTGCTGTGCTTGATGCTAGCCTTGCTACACAGTCATCAGCAAAGCCCCCCATTTTACTAACAATAAAATGGACACAATACACATTCTTACATTTCTAAATTCTCTGAGACTTAATGTAAGTCAATGTATGCACTAACAGTATTCTTTTTCTCATAAATGTTTTTTCATTCAATGCCACAACATAGTAAGAAAAAGTGAACAGAAACCTATTTAACTGCTACAGTATTTGCTTTCCTACCATTAGAAAATGAACTCCTGTCTGCATGCTGTTTGACAATGCTCAAAAAACACATGTACTTCAAAAATGAAGTTATTACTTCAAACATCTATCAAATATGTCAAAAAGAACATTTTATTTTAAAGACGAATAACTATACATTCTCAAAAAAAAAGTCATTAATCTTATCTGAATGCATACAAATACAATATTAACTGGCCTTTGAGGAAATATCCATTTCAAAAACCAGGAAACTAATTTTGTCTCCATCAAGGGTCTTCTTCAGAGAAGGAGTAAGTCTGGCACTTACATCTGTATCAGAAGCATCACCACCAAAGCTTTCTTGCATACACTGTGACCTTGGAAAAGTCCTTTGATGCCTGTATTCCACTTCTGAATCATACTCATTTGAATCTCTCAAGGTAGACAAACCACTGTCAAAACAGCTCTCAGGTAAACTGTCAACTTCACAGTTAATCCTTTGCATAGGATCACAAAGGGCTAAAGAATCATAATCTTCATCCACACAAGAAGGAGATGATCTAATAAAAAATATTGGGGGGAGGGACAATTATTCACAACTGTTTTTTCTAACAAAAACTACGCCATTCTGGAATAGTCAATACTTAGAAATCCTTAGAAATCCTAATATACAGTTTAAGGTGTACGTTAATGCCATTTTTGCCATGCTAAGTAATTTATTTTTCAATCCTAAATATGCTCAGATTAAATTACATAATCTATGTTATTGATGATGATTTACTGGGTCTCTGTAAGAAAGTCTATTTATTCATACACACACACACACAAAAAAAAAAGAAAAAATATTCAGAAAAATTACATACAATGAAGACATCTTAGGCAGAATATGACTGCTGATGGTTTAGCTACTTTTGGCTTATTCTAAGGCACATAAAATGACCTTGATGTACTATATCTAATTCAAATGAATGCATTTGCTCACAGAAGCACACAGGCCAGTAAGTAACAGTTAGAAACACAGAAAAGGAGATAGCCAAGTTCAGGAGAGGAGTAATGGTGGAAGAAGTCACTGAAACATGTTTTATTATAGTTTTAGGCTACACAAAACTTCAGGTTTTACACAGAAGTCCTTTCTTTTCCCTCACCCTTCCTTCAAAGACCTTTCCTTTACTTTTTTCTTTTTTTTCCCTTCCCTTTCTGGATGCTGTAATATATATATAGAAATACTTAAATGGATGCAGCAATGACAGTAGTTATGGCTTATAGAAAATAAAACTAGTTTTTTATCTGTGTAAATGAATCTAGAGAAAAAAAAGATTAATAGAGTCATTCTTAAAGTGGTCAATCTTTCAAAAAGGTTTACTACTGCTACAGTCATTATCCTGCTCCTGCAACAAGACAGGGACAGGCACAAATTAAAGTCAGGTAGAAAAGGTTTCCAAGTCACAGCATAGAAGACAGGACCAGTTTGGGAATGGATGTGAAGCACTAAACTACTAGAACAGGCCAGGTCAGCATCAATCCTTGTAAAGACAGTTTGCTGCAAGAGGGGTTGGAAGCTCCCAGAGCAATGGCACACCACAAAATACAGTGGGGGAAAATCACCTAATTATGAAGCTGTTACTGACTCAGATATAATCCCTCCTTGCAAGTGGCCAAATAGAGGTGACAGAGGCACCAACATCCCATGCACCAACATCCAGAACCATCTAATTTACATCCCTTCAAGCTAATAAATAACCACATCAATGAGAATGATATTTGCTGTGGAATATCACAGCATCCATGCTATTTGTATTCATGCACCTACTAGCCTCTACCAAATCACTGAAATACAGAAGAAGGGTGCATGCTACAACAAACAAGCTTGTCAGGCTTTCCCTGGAATAAAAGGTCTTTAGTAGCCAATTTTTAACTTCACTGAAGCATGAATTCAATGCTGGGAATTTCACACCTGCTTAAAGCAGGTTAGACCAAGATGTATGATAAGTTTAAAAAAGAAAAAAAAAAAAAAGAAGAAAAGAAAATATACCTACTACTGTAAATTGCTCTAAAACATGTTAAGAATGCAAATCAATATCTCTTACTGCTGATCTGATGTCAGGAGACAAAGTACTGACAATGAACATAGTTTGGGACATTCATACATCTGTCTGTCTTTAGATACTAAGTCATACCTGTTGGGAATCAAGTTTTATTCATACCACACGAACCTTCTTTTAAATTAGTATGCACTTCTTACTTTTGTGGCAGTGCAAGCATTGCACCATCTGGCAAATATCTAATAAATATTCACAGAAAAGGACATTAGGCCAACAAACCTTTGTAATAATAATTATTGTTACAAAAGGAAAAAACAGACATACAGTCTGAGGATGTGACCAAAAATGTTAATTTCCTAAACACTGAGTAAGCTAGAGGTTGTCAGTAGATTTTTATAGTTTCTTGGAGACACAGAGGGGAGACTGAGAATCAAACTAGAATCAGGCAGCATTTGCTCTTCTACAACAAGTGAAGCCCTACCCTTTTTAAAATTAATAAAAGTGAACCTAGCTTACCTGTTGTACCGTGAGTTTAGAGGAGACTGTCCACCATTAAATTTAGGACTGCTTCTAGAAATGGTACTCCCCAGTGAGGTGTTTGCTAATCGCTGTGACAGATACATAGCAAATGCATAATAAGTTTGATGAACACAGTATAAGCATCTAGGTATTTCATAAAAAAGTGTGTATCACCAAAATTACTACTGTGTATTTTCATATATATTCAATTATTGATTTTTAATTTTTATATAGGAGTCAAAAGGCCCATTACATACAGCGTTTTAGACGACACTGTTACCTTAATAGTGAAAGTGATAGCCATACCCAACCAAAAAAGACAACTGAAATTCCAAGAGGATGATTTCATTGATTACATCTGAAGACTTTGAAATGCTAAACTTTGAAAAGTAATATTTAAAAAAAAAGGCATATTGACTACTAAAGTGAAATGGCAAATGCCACTAACTGAGCTAGTTTCAGTAGAGGTACCTTCTAGTTCTTGAGTTAGGTAGTTGAGAGAAGGACAGATCTCAAACATGACAGCATATTTCGTACATTCAGCTGTTCCTTTACATGTTCAGTCACTGGAAACATTTTCCTCTGTATTCTCTGTTATCTGCCCCCCTTACATTTCAGCGCATAGCAGAAAGGAAATGGTGTCTTTTGTTGTATCTGCAGTGAACCTCTGGTAGCCTGTATCAGCAAAAGGCACTGGTGTTCACTGGTATTGTAATCTGAAATAAAGCAATGACCCTATTTTCCTCCTTCCTGTCCAGTACCGTCTCTGTGGGCCCATTATACTAGCCCCATCCTTCTAAAACAGCTGCTTTCCTGATGATGTAAAGGCTGCCCAATTATTATTTCAGGAGTTTGATTTCCCAATATTGCAAAATGGTACATTTTTTGTCATTTTCACGCCTTCCTTTCTCTGGTTTGGAGGGTTCAGAGTTACATCCATTGCAACAGATCCCCATACAGTTGTCCCCATATAGTCCCCATATAGACCAAAAAGGGTCTGACTGAGGTCCTTATTATCAGCAGTCCCTGCTATTCCATTTTCCCAGTGACTTGCCTGGACAAAAGTTTAAATTAGGTTAAGACCTTGCTACTGAAAAAAACCAGTTTTCTGAAAAAGTGTGTTTTCAATTGTAGGGCACTTCCATATACACAATACAAACATACTCCCTTTTGTTGTGGTTTAAGCCCAGCCAGTAACTCAGAACCACACAGCCACTCGCTCACTCCCCTGGCAGGATGGAGAGGAGAATCGAAAAGATGTAAAGTCCACAGGTTGAAATAAGAATATTCCAATACCTAAAGTATAATACAAAACTACTACTACTACCACTAATAGTAATAATGAGGGAAATAAAATGGGGAGAGAATATAAAACTAAAAGGGGAAAACAATAAACACAAGTGATGCACAATAAAATTGCTCACCACCCACTGACCAATACCCAGCCCAACTCAAGCAGTGATCTGTCCTTCCAGGTGACTCCCCCCAGTTTATATACTAGGCATGTTGTGCTGTGGTATGGAATCACTCTTTGGCTAGTTTGGGTCAGGTGTCCTGTCTCTGCTTCCTCCCAGCTTTTTGTGTCCCTCCTCTCTGGCAGAGCTTGAGACACTGAAAAGTCCTTGATCAGGGTAAGCACTACTTAGCAACAACTGAAAACATCGGTGTGTTATCAGCTTTGTTCTCAGACTGAAGCCAAAACACAGCATGGCACCAGATACTAAGAAGAAGAAAAATAACTTACAGCTCAACCCAGGACACCTTTAGTGCAAGATAAACTGATGTTTTATTCACCTCATCAGATACATTTGGTCAGCACATTAAAAAAATCACTGCTTTCCAAAGCACCTCAGAAAGTAGCTGTGTTCTAACAAAAGTCCATTATTTCACAAAATGTAAGTAAAATCTAACTAAATTCAACTACACAATTGTATTCTCAGAGTGAATCCACTGAATAAAACTATTTTTTTCTGAGAACCCACTGAAGTACAGACCAATCTGCATTCGGTGTGTTAATTCTTAAACATTCTAGTATAATAGAATTAAAAATACATACCAATGACCTGTTGTACTTGCTGAAGCTGTTTTCAAGTGCACTTCTTAAACCATCATTGCTGTCATGTAGCTTTCTATTAGCTGTTCTAACAAGGAAATATAGTTTAACTTGCAAGAGTAAGGTAAACAGAACATTATGTAATTTATCACAAAGAAAAATTAAAAAAAAAAACTAAAAGAACCCTTTTGCTTTTCTTTACATTGAAGAGTAATGTTGAGCTAAAAATGGGTGTTTTACACTCAAACAAATGATTTTACATAAAAAAGCACTGTGAAGTTTAGCCTACAGTAACAGTCTACAAAACCCTGTCTCTCTTCTTCCACCGTGGTCTGTGGTCAGCTGAGGGGAAAAAAGACACTGTAGGAATGGCCTCAGAGAACACAGCTATGGGGTAGTAGACTGGTACAGTCATTTCTGAAATACAGAATTGCTAAGCTTTAGGTACTGCTGAGGTGACTCGAAGAACTGCTGTGATTCAGCTGCTTGAAAGAGAGTATGTTCAGGATAAAGCATTTAACTAAAGATAACAAGAAAACCTACTCATTGTGACCCTCCTTGAAAGCTAAGTCCGTGCACCATTTGTATAACTGCATGCACTTAGTACTTTCCAGATAATAATCAGACAGGGAATTACTGGAGCAGCAAAGTCAATAAAACATAGGAGCCAAGTAATATAGCATGGAAAGATTCAAATCTGATTAAGCTTATCATGAAGAAATGAAAATCAGTGAGGCTAGGAAAAGAAAGAAAAAACAATGAAGAGTTAGTGGCTCAGTAACACAGTAGAGTTAGCAGCATGGTACCTTCTATGAAAGTTGAGCACAGTACCTTCTACGAAAATTGAGGTCATTTTAGTATTTTTATTTCAGACTTTTTCTGAGGTTTCTGCATACAAAAATATGTACTCCCGAATAGGTTGGGACATATGTAAAGTTTGTCAAAAAAAATATGAATCACTAAGAACTTACTGAAGTATTTCAATTTGCCTTTCCAAATTATCTCTGTCTTCAGTATACTCTCGGATAATTTCTAGGTCTCTGAAGGAAAAAAAAAAATATATATATCTCCAATAATTTTTACTTTACAGGATATATTTTTTTACTTTTATAATACTGCTTTTGGCAGATGACAAAATTTAACAGTCAACATTTATAAGAGGTGATAAATATACAGTGGGGAAAAGATACCATTTCAAAATATTCATGAATATAGGGGGTTTTGTTCATATTTTTCCTGAAATACATAAAAATCACTTGATAACTTCACTGATCTCTGCCATTAGACTGTGAATGAAAAATAAAAAAATCTATCAAATAGCTGTAGGAACTGTCGCTTCTCCCCTTGAAATATCTTTTTTGTTATTGGAAGATAGCCACATAATGAAACTGTCATTTACACTCCTCTAAATTAGTACCTAGAAGCAGCTTCCATTCACTTCAGAAAAAACTGAGACTGATGTGTGCGGTTTCCAAAACTATTCTCCCTAATATTCACACAGATATTCATCTGAGTGCAAATAATGGAGGAAAAAACTGTCTGATGGTAACTTTGAATCCTAACTGAAATCCCAGTAAAATCAATGGGCTTCCCTGCAAGATTCTGAGAGTTTGCATCATAAACAGAACTTTCTCTGTCTGAAACCTGACAAGAAAAGTGAACAGTAGTCATGACATACTTTGCAAGTTATCAAATGTGTCCTCTCATTGATGGTAAATTTACAAAATAACAGTTACCAACTGCATACATAATAACTACTACATCAAACAACAGATATTTTTCCCTTGGTGAAAATATTATCATGTAGAAGTACCTTACCTCTCAGTGTTCAAAGTCTGATCAGCATACTCCGTTTTCAAACTATCTAATTCACTCTGTAGAAAAGCTATATTTGTCTGTGCTTCTATGAGATCTTTCTTAAGTTTCTGATTTTCCTTAAAAAAAAAAAAGAAAGAAAGATATTAGACATTAGCTGTCATAGTCACCTGCATAAGCATGTTGACATAATGGTAAAACAAAACATTATCAAAATTAAATTGAAATGCTCCATCCCTGGTGGTGTTCAAGGCCAGGTTGGACAGAGCCTTGGGTGACATGGTTTAGTGTGAGGTGTCCCTGCCCATGGCAGGGGGGGTTGGAACTTCATGAGCTTGAGGTCCTTTCCAACTCTAACTATTCTATGATTCTATGATACAATAGAAAATCTGAGCATAAAGGGGGAAAGAAAATGGAAGAACTCTAAATCAAGTCAGTAAGTTAGCATCCAAGAATCACTGAATTTTTATTTTTCCATTTCTGTTACACAAAAATGGGACTATATCATCTCATGCCATTTGTAACTGTCATACCTAGAATGTGTATGCATTCATGCAGAACAAGTTTTTTTCCAAGTTAAAGGTCCTCATATACTTACCAACAACTTTAGAGTTTTATTTTGTAGCTTACCAGCACTAAATGCAAAAAAAAAAAAACAAAAACCCTCTATTGCAGAGACTAAAATGGAGATTAAGTTACTATGTTAACGATAATCATCTCTTACCAGCAACATATCATGTATTCTTTTTTTCAATTCAACCACATCTTGCCTGTGATTTACATTCTTGGACTGCTCCTCCAGCTAGAAGGGTAAGGAAAAAAAAAGCACAATTAATGTAAGCTGTTCATTGTTCTGATTCAAAGTACATTAAAAGTAATATAAATAATAATAAATAACCCCTAAAGCTTCTTAAAGCTATTAAAAGTTTTTAAAACCAAGGATTTTCTCAGCTACGAGTAGGCAGTATGAGTATGTGAGAAATTTCCATTTCTATCAATGCTCTTTTAAGTTCAGTCATATGAAGAAACAAAAATATATCCTCATTGGATGATATAACACTAGTAAAACTTATAGCAAAAAAATAATGTCAAAATTAAACCCAAATTACAAAATAACCCTAACCAACATTCATATCCAAGATTTCAGTTTACCTTAAGCTTAGGTATGAAATTAAAAGATCAGGTTGGAGTTAGGTTCAGGCTAGTACTAAGTAGTTACACTAGTAATTTCAGTTTAATATTAAGAACTTAAACCCACTTCTACAGTCAAGTTTGAGAGAAATAACTACGTGCTCTATGGCACTATATTACTGTAAATTACTATACTTGAGTTGCCAATTTCATCTAAATCTATAAATTACAAATATTTGTTGGCAACATATTAGACTATTTCTAATACATTACAAATTTATACAATAATATTTATAATATATTACAAATATGTTACAAATACAAGACTAGGTAACTGCAGTGTTAACAACTTGATGAACCTAGAAAAATATTCAGCCACAGAATTTGGCTAGGAGTTGGTTCCTTTCATAAATATTTCCATAAATTACACAGGATGAATGCAAGAGCACAGAATGACAACACAACCTAGAAGATTATTTACAGCTGCCGTTTACTAATACACATCAAATTAAAAAGCTACAATTTAAAAAGCTACAATTATGATTATCCACCTTGGGGAAGGCATTTTGTAAGGTCTGCATCTCATAACACACTTTAAAAACACTTGCCATGACTTCAACTTACCATTTTAAGTTTTTTTATTGTCACCTGAAGATCCCCAACTTCAGTATCATACTGGCGCCTCAGCTCATTTAGTGCTTCTTCAGCTTTTCGCTTCTCCTGCAATATTTTTTAATCTTATTAAACGTTGAGAAATGTTTCAAATGTTATAAAAAAGAAAAAAAAAAAATAAAAAATGCATTCATCAGTTTGGAAACCACACACTTTCCCCTTAATGTGTGTAGTCTTGTCTTTCCATTGAGTAAACCTGCCCCTTCCTTAAGATCCACAGATTCTGATTCTGTAACTCCAGTCCACTTCTAAAATATTCATAGAAATAGAATGGTAAGATGGAACCAAATTTGTGGCCCAATTCAGCATTTGTTGCTTATGTCATAGTCTCCTGCGCTTAGCTTTCTCAATTTCTTAAGGAAAAAAAAATAAAGAGAAATGTTCATATTTTATTGTACATGAATTTAGGTGTGCATTGCATATGGAGATGTAAACATGCACATCTGTTTTTCAAACCAGTCTTCTACGGCTCTGCATGTGTTGTACTAACAATAGCATTACTGTGCCACCATCAGTTACTTATTTCTGGCTTTCTTTTACATTTTTTTCACTTAGAAGTGCTGGAAAGTTATAAGCTTTTCAGTAAAAGGTCTGCTGATGACAGTATCTTTAGTTTTATATAGTACTTGGTCTGAATATCAAACCAAGAACAATATTCTAAGTTTCATTTTAATCAACACAGAGATTTTGAAAGGAAGTTACATCAAGCACAATGAAAAAAATGGTATGGTTTGCATGCTATAGATGACTACGTGTTTAACTCACTCCAGTCATTCCCCAGGGACTTCAATGCACAGTTTCACAACACAAGAAACTGGAATACAGCAGCGATAACATAGACAATGAGACAGGCTGAGTTTTTATATGGAAAAGATAGTCATGGACTTAATTCAAAATTCAGTCCTGAATTTCAGGTGACGCTGACATCTGTGTGTTAAATTGTAATAGCGTGTTAAAACAATTATCAAAGTAATCAGATTAAATTGGATTCTCTTACTGTTGGCACCTATACAGGACTCCTAAGTAGTGTTTGGTAACTATTTCATTCCCTTGAAGAAACAAAATACAGGATAGGCTCAATCTGCAAATACTATCATGCAAAGGCAAGTGTCACTGCTGCGTGGCATGAGTGAGATCATTCTGACAAATAATTCCCTTGAGTACAAGCATTAAGATTAATGGCTTAGTACAATCCCACAAAGTAAATACCTTACATTTACTCTCAGGGCGTTTTAGTAGGTGGAGTATGTGGAGCTAGGAGCTAAAGGGAACACCAAGAAGTGAAAATGAAAAGAGAGCTGTAAGAAACAAGTTACAGCCCATCTTTCATTATCTGTAGCTAGGTGTGAACAGTGAAATAGCAATCCATGCAACTCAATGACAATTTGAGGACTTTTCAGCATGAGAAACACAGGCTAGATGTGGATAATACGTAGCAGATGGTTTTTTTACATGATGATGGTACGTAACTGTGGATGTTCTCAGAGTGAGTGAATACTCACACCTCCCAGTCATCTTTTTACAGCAGTGAAAGAGTCTTCAGGGCTTTTCTCAGTGATTTACCACTTCTGCAGAACAAAAATTTTCCAGAGCAAATGTATTTTCTGAACATAAATGCTTAGTCTCTGGAAATGGAAAGTTTCTCTCTACTGAGAGTGCATTATCATTAGTTAAATATATAATGATATGCTTTTTTTTTTTTTTCTGGGGTGATAAATTTAACAGTATATTTTGTTTCTAGGAAAAAAGTGATTTTTATGGTTTGGTAGGTTTCCTCATCTAGAAAAACATGCCATTTTCTTCAAATCTTTCAGAATACCATTTACCTTCACAGATCAGATACTGTGAACTATTTAAAATCACCAAGTTGGCAGACTTTTACTTCCAATTCTGCAAATGCTTTGGTGAAAGAACCTGGACCAAGTATATAGACATTCAGTATATTGTCTGTCCTACAAAGCAATAATTATGCCCTTAGTATATGTTTTTAATTAATGCATTTCTTACATCCACAATTTCACAAACTGCTATTCTTATGCACATTACCTCCAATCTTTTTCTAGTACTGGTTTCAGAAATAAATCTCTCTAGGTCACCATATTCTCACAAAAGAAAAAGACTTCTTTTCTTGGTTTATTACACCTGAGCAGCCATTCCTCTTTGGGAAAGCATTGAGAGAAAACGTGTTCGATCTCTTGGATAGCTTATTTTCGTCCAGGCCCAGCCTTCGGCAGCTTTGAGTCAGCCCATCAGGATCAAAACACACATCAAAAATGAATCCTGCTTAATGCCACTGGGAGTTTATGAAATAATTATGAAATTCCATAAATATAAAATACTCACTTCCTTTTTGACTTTATGCTCTGCAGCCTGTATCCGTTGTTCCATCTCTTCCTCCAGCTCACTGAGCTGAACTGCCGCTTTATCCTGAGCTCTAAAATTTAAAAGTAAATACTCTCTTAGCAATTGCCCTCTGGCTTGACAGAAACACTGTGTGAAACACATATGCCTACCTCAGCTGAAACAAATTAGAGATAGACATGGAAAGAGATTAAGACTGCCTAGACCTTGAAACTGGTATGGTTGGGAACCAAAAATCACAAACTAATTTGAAGATACAGGCAAATTAGATTCTAAATAACAGCTGACAGCTGATGATTAGTATGAAATACATCACATCTGCATTTTGAAAATTAAGTTACAGAGATAAAAGGCCCCTCCAGTTATTCACTGAAGAGACTTCAAAAGGATAACTACAGCAGCTTGCATCACCCATATATACAAGATTGTCCTGCTCAGTTTTGACAGTAATGATGTGTATCATCAGTAAATGATGAGTATCTACAACAGGTAAATACTCCCTTTGAAGCTGAAGAAGCAAAAATATGTTTTCTAAAATGAAAGTATAATGGGTATGGTATGCTAAAACTCAAAGTTACAGCCAAGGAAGAGGAGTCAAAATGTTTTAAGCCATTAAACGTAAAAACAGAGTCAGTAAAACTTTTGTCCAGGACTTATCTAAATTATGAACATTTGCAAGCTGCTATATGTGCTTATGCACATGTGTGTGCACATAAGCTAACCTTTGAACTCAGTTTATGGAAATACTCTGTATGACGTATTTTGGCATTAATTCCCAGTAGTTTAAACAAAAAAAGTGTGACAGAATAAAAAGTAACTGCATAACTGACCTAGAAACACAACTTGATATACCTTTTTACTGCAATGGCCAAAGTTTCCATCTCTGTGCTTTGAAGTTTGATCTCTCGGATGAAGTTCTTAATGACATGTTCGTACGGCTGTATTAATCTTGGTTCCACTATGTGTATGTTCTGATACAGAACACTGACCTGCTCTTGTCTGAAAAAGAGAGATACCATTTTAACTTACTTACTGGGAACAGTGTTCTAGATAGGTTTGAAAACTGTAGTAAAAATTAAGATATTCCCCTTTGGCGTGGTTACCCCCCACCCCGATAAATCCTGCTGAAAGCTGGTTTTGCCATAAAACGGAGTAAGGTCAAGGGACCTGCACAGGAGATTCAATTTTGGGGAACAAAATGGCAAGATGGACGTAGACAGATCCCCACAGATGTGATCAACAAGATAACAGCAATGTCTCCACCAACTAATAAGAAAGAAACGCAAGCTTTCTTGGGTGCTGTGGGGTTCTGGAGAATGCACATCCCAAATTACAGTTCGATTGTAAGCCCTCTTTATCATGTGACCCGGAAGAAGAATGATTTTAAATGGGGCCCTGAGCAATAACAAGCCTTTGAGCAAATTAAACGCGAGATAGTTCATGCAGTAGCCCTTGGACCAGTCCGGACCGGGCCAGATGTAAAAAATGTACTGTACACTGCAGCTGGGGAGAACGGTCCTACCTGGAGCCTCTGGCAGAAAGCTCCAGGGGAGACTCGAGGTTGACCCCCTGGCTTTTGGAGTCGGGGATACAAAGGATCTGAGGCCAGCTATACCCCAACTGAGAAAGAGATACGGGCAGCCTATGAAGGGGTTTGAGCTGCTTCGGAAGTGATAGGCACTGAAGCACAGCTCCTCCTGGCACCCTGGCTGCCCGTGCTGGGCTGGATGTTCAAAGGCAGGGTCTCCTCTACACATCATGCAACTGATGCTACATGGAGTAAATGGGCTGCACTAATTACACAACGAACTCAAATAGGAAATCTCAGTTGTCCAGGCATTCTAGAAGTCATCATGGACTGGCCAGAGGGCAAAGATTCCAGAATGTCACCAGAGGAGGAGGCGGTGCGTGCTGAAGAGGCCCCACCATATAATAAACTGTCAGAAAGTGAAAAGCAGTATGCCTTGTTTACTGATGGGTCTTGCCGTATTGTGGGAAAGCATCGGAGATGGAAGGCAGCTGTATGGAGTCCTGGACGACAAGTTGCAGAAACTGCTGAAGGAGAGGGTGAATCGAGTCAGTTTGCCGAGGTGAAAGCCATCCAGCTGGCCCTGGACATTGCTGAACGAGAAAAGTGGCCAGTACTTTATCTCTATACTGACTCATGGATGGTGGCAAATGCCCTGTGGGGGTGGTTGAAGCAATGGAAGAAGAGCAACTGGCAACGCAGAGGTAAATCCATCTGGGCTGCTGCACTGTGGCAAGATATCGCTGCTCAGGTGCAGAACCTGGTGGTGAAGGTACGCCATGTAGATGCCCATGTGCCCAAGAGTCGGGCCACTGAGGAACACCAGAACAACCAACAAGTGGATAAAGGGGCTAAGATTGAAGTGGCTCAGATGGACTTAGATTGGCAACATAAAGGTGAATTATTTTTGGCCCGGTGGGCCCATGACACTTCAGGCCATCAGGGCAGAGATGCAACATATAGATGGGCCCGTGATCAAGGGGTGGACTTAACAATGGACACTATTGCCCAGGTTATTCATGAGTGTGAAACATGTGCTGCAATTAAACAAGCCAAGCAGTTAAAGCCGCTTTGGTATGGAGGACGATGGTTGAAGTATAAATACGGGGAGGCCTGGCAGATTGACTATATCACACTGCCACCAACCCGCCAAGGCAAGCGCCATGTGCTTACCATGGTGGAAGCAACCACCGGGTGGCTGGAAACATACGCTGTGCCCCATGCCACTGCCCGGAACACCATCCTGGGCCTTGAGAAACAGATTTTGTGGCGACACGGCACCCCAGAGAGAATTGAGTCAGACAATGGGACTCATTTCCGGAATAACCTTATAGATATTTGGGCCAAAGAGCATGGCATTGAGCGGGTATATCACATCCCCTACCATGCACCAGCCTCTGGGAAAATCGAACGGTACAATGGGCTGTTAAAAACTACACTGAGAGCAATGGGTGGGGGAACTTTCAAGCATTGGGATACACACTTACCAAAGGCCACCTGGTTGGTCAACACCAGAGGATCTGCCAACAGGGCTGGCCCAGCCCAGTCCCAACTTTTACATATTGTAGAGGGGGACAAAGTTCCCGTAGTGCATACAAAGAATTTGCTGGGGAAGACAGTCTGGGTTATTCCTGGTTCAGGTAAAGACAAACCCACTCGTGGGATTGCTTTTGCTCAGGGACCTGGATATACTTGGTGGGTAATGTGGGAAGATGGGGAAGTCCGATGTATACCTCAAGGGGATTTGATTTTAGGGGAAAACAGCCAATGAACTTAATTGTATGCTGTTGCCTGCTGTGTAATACTTTTATAGCCCACCAACTAGATGTCTTTAGGTCACCAATGACTGGCCCTGACTTCCCTCCAACCATCATCCCAACAGAGAATGAACTTTGATAGAACCGGATGAGTTCTGCAGTAAAGGAACAACCAGCATCAGCAGTCAACAATCCAATACTGCACACAGCCTTTCCTGCCCTGAAAGATTGTTACAAGAGATGGAACCTGACATCATGGACCGAATGGACTCAGCAGCATTATAGGGATTGGTCCATGCACTAAGAAAATGATATTTTTCTCTTGGTCTGTGTGTATATGGATGTATATATGTGGGAGAGTGATGGTGTATTGAAAATGTGGGATCTGTGCATGACGTGAATGGTATGGAATAAGGGGTGGATAATGTCCTGGGTTCAGCAGTAACAGTCATGTTTCTCCTTCGTGGTAGCTGGTGCAGTGCTGTGTTTTGACTTCCAGCCTGGGAACAGTGTTGGTGAAGCCGATGTTTTTGGTTGTTGCTAAGTGATGTTTACCGTGACCAAGGACTTTGTGAGGCTCATGCTCTGCCAGGGAGGAGGGGAAGCCGTGAGGAAGCAGAGACAGGGTGCCTGACCCAGCCTAGCCAGGGAGGTATTCCATACCACCGCACGTCATGCCCGGGGTGGGGGGTAACTGGGAGTTACCCAGAAGGACACGGGCTTCTGGGGGGGGGGGTGAGCCCTCGATTGTTGTCAGCCCGGCACCACTCACTGGGAGTGAGTGAACAAGTTGCCTGACTGGGTTTAAACTACTACACCCTTTTTGTATATTTCTAAAATTTCGCAAGTTAGATATGGACTTTGAACATTCATCAGCATGTCTGAATTCTTCTAAATTATGTTTCCCCTTCCTGCTTCTCTACTTTAATATAGTTACTGTAGCAAAAAAAAACTTTCAAGTATTTTTTTCTGTACTTGCATTCATGGTATATTGAAGAGTGTGCTACCGGAATAAGCCATGTTGTCTATCAAATTTGTTGCTGGATCTAATGTTAATCATAATCCATGAAGAATTTTATGGCTCTAGGAGTCTGCTCAAGAAATAAAAATGGATATGAACACCAACCACCTATGCTAAAATGGATGTTTAAAGAGGGGAGAGGGAGGTGATCATATCTCCTTCAAGGAAAAAAGTTTGATGTTCCCTCAGCTGTTTGACTTCTAATATTTACATTTCTTCTATCGGTGCATGTCAGGGGTGCGGCAGCGGCAGGGGAAATGCGTACCCAGCTCTTTGGTTTAAAACAAACTGCTCTGGTCCAGCCAACTGCACTCCTCATATGGCAATATAGTAGACAAAATGCTGTAACAGCATATTGAACTTCCAAGGAAAACTGAAGCCAGTTGCCATGCAGATACACTGGAACCTGAAGAGGTATTCAAGAACTTAAAAGGAAAAGGGAAGATCAGGTCTAGAAACATGGAGGAAGCATGCCAGTGGCAGAATGAAAACAAAAATAATGTTTTTCAAGTTCTACTCTAACACAGTATCTAATATATCATGAACACATGACCTCTTTTTGTTGTTAAAGGAAAGCCTAGACTCTGAATTAATGATCCTCCTTGTTAGACAGCTTTTGTTTTCCTTTCTTTTATGGAGCTAGTGCCATTTAGTACCTTCATCATGCAAATTTTATCAATAGTGTATATTCTCTACATTTTTCCCCCACATTAAGCAATTCCACAGAGTTACTAACAGTGCAGCAGTCTGCTTCTTCTATGATTGATGTGATTTCCCCACTGATGATTTAACTTTTTGTATTATAAAAGTACCATAATTGGTACTATAGCTCAGACTTCAATTTTAAACAACTGAAGTATTTCAGGACACCCGCTGTAAAATCTGCTTCCAGCTGAAATGCTGACGTTCATTTCAATATACAGAAACGTAACATCAGCGCAAAGAAATACAGATTCACTGATGCCAGGGGCATTTCTGCATACATGTTTCTGCCTTGCAAAGGGTTTCCTTTATACAGCCTAATGATTTAGCTGGATTCAGTATTTCTAGAAGTTAAGCTCAGTGTAGTGCTCCAAATAACTTCTAACATATGCACATAATTTCTTTTTCAAAATATATTTTAAAAAGAGTTATGTCAAAGTTCAAAAACAGTCAAAACAATGCCCAGATTTATCTGAACATCAGATTCTACAAACTGTGTAAATCATATATCAATAAAGAACTCTCCAAATTTAGATTTACTCAATTAATAATTCTCACTTAGAAACACAGTTAAGGACATTTTCTTTAGCAACACCTTTGCACTAAAACAACACTGACATTATCAGCACCATCAGAAATAGTAAAACTAGGAAAAAAATTGCAGACTTAAAATCTGCCCTACTTTCAGTCAATGCTATTACAACATACAGACAAGTGTGATATTTCTGCACTAACAGGTTTACTGCAAAAGAGTGTTTTGGAACAGTTATGATAATGTGTATCACAAAACAAGTCAGAGGCTTGTGTTCACCAGATCTCAATTAAATTTCAAGCGTGCACCAGATCTGTAGCATTTAGAAACGGATTTCCAAGTAGATGCAGCTGTGTTCAGTGTCTCAAGGTATCAACATTTACAGAATTCCTAATGCCTTCCCATTAGGTTGGGCAGGCTTGAAGCTGGAACCTGGCTGTACTTCACACATTACAAAAC